AGGATGTTCCGAGTGCAACCATGGTCCACCGTGGATGATATTTATGAAGGTGGCGCATTCTGCGGTTTCCCACGGTGCCCAAAGGATTTAAAAAATACTGAGCTATTTAGAATGATTCGTTGTGTCTCCTGTCTCTGAAAACTTGAGCATCATTCATGGGGCAAGTCAACTCATTTAGGGGCTCACAGAGGGTAGAGTATTTTCAGGAGAAACTATTTAAGGAGAGGCAGGTAGGCGGAATGATAAGATGAAATGTGAGTTTGTGTTGACGGGAAGCTGGGTATGTGGTTCACGCACTAGAATGTGCAGACAGTGACTGAGACGGGAATGTTGTATGGGACGGGGGATGGAGTGGCCATCCGCCTCGAGTAGTGCCAAGTCATTGCTTTGGAATGAGGTGGAGCAGCCAAGCCACTGAGTGGGAGTGGGGTAGAGTCGCCATATGCATTGAGCAGTGCCAAGTTATTCAGTGGGAGTGGGGTGGAGCTACCGTGTGCATTGGGCATTGCTAAGTCATTGAATGGGAGTGGGATGGACCCGCCCTATGCATTGAGCAGCACCAAGTCTTTGGATGGGAGTGGAATAGAGCCACCATATGGATTGAGCAGCAACAAGTCATTAAATGGGAATGGGGTAAAGCCGCCATATGCATTTGGAAGTGACAAGCCGTTGGATGGGAGTGGGATGGACCCGCCATATGCGTTGAGCAGTACCAAGTCACTGAATGGGAATGGGATGGAGCTGCCATATGCATTGAGGAGTACCAGGTCATTGAATGGGAATGGGATAGAACCACCATATGTATTGGACAGTACCAAGTCACTGTATGGCATAGGACTAACATATGCATTGGGAAGTACGAAGTCATTGAATGGGAGTGGGATAGAGCCGCCATATGCATTGAGCAGCAACAAGTCATTGAATGGGAGTGGGCTAGAGCCGCCATATGCATTAAGCAGCAACAAGTCATTGAATGGGAGTGGGGTAGAGCCGCCATATGCATTGAGCAGCAACAAGTCATCAATTGGGAGTGGGGTAGAGCCGCCATATGTATTAAGCAGCACCAAGTCGTTGGATGGGAACAGGAGTAGAACCACCATAGGCATTGGGAAGCCCCGGGTAGCATGGACCCTGGCACACATTCCTAGGCAGGGGCCGTGAAAGTGGAGCTTCTACAGTCTTCTAATCCTATTTATGACGGAATTGGGTGAGCGGGAGGGTGAAGAAACAGCTGGTCAACCCACGGGGAGAGTCCGGTGAACGCCATCCTGCCTGCGATGGCCACTTCTGAGCCAGCCAACAAGTCACATTTTAAGTCTTCGGGAGGGTTCCTGAAACCCTCTACTGAGCGTGTATTTTGCACGCTTACGTTTATCGTGACAAACGGCGACCACACAATGGCAGCGGCACCCCCGGTTGATTGGGATCCGTACCTACTTTAGACCTGATAGTGCAACTTTCTCCTGCTGGAGCGGTGTAGACGGAACCCCCAAAGAAGGCAGCCTTGGTGCCCAACCTCTCCGGGATGGGCACTTTGCAAAAGGCGGCCTCAGGACTCCTGCCCCGTGATGGACAACGGTTTACACGGCTTGTGTCACCCCCCCCCTTCGGTGGAGCTGGGACCTCGGAACGTGGTGGGGCGGCACTCTCGAGATTAGGTCGTGCTATATGGCCGAGGCGAAGGGACCTTGCGGGTGTATTTAAGGTCTGTCTGGCGCCTTGGGTTTCAGCCCTTGTGGGACCCTGAGCCGAGGACCCAGCTCACCCCCACCCAGTCTTCTGACTGAAAGAACCCAGAGGTCATGAACGGGTGTCGTCGTAAGCCAACCCATTTGGGATGGTCTGCGACACGGCGTGGCTGGCTCCTACGCACGGCTCTTCCAGCCGGCGACCCACGGCCGAGGGAGGAGGGTCCTGCAGGCACTGGGTCCGAGCTTTCAATGCTGCTGTCTACACCCGAGTAACCGCAGTCACCCTTTTTTACTCTCTTCTTTGGTCGCTTCAACATCTTTAGATCCCCCGTGGAAGCGGGATCGCACCGGATTTGTGTTTTTATAGCCGACTGACTTCACTGAGCCCAGTGCCCTCCAGCTCCGTCTCTGTGGTCATTTTTATCCTGGCTGTGTAATATTCCATCGTGTGGATGGACCCCCCGCCATCTTTATCTGCTCGTCTGTCGACGGACCCTCTGGGCTGATTCCATTTCTTGGCTGTTGTGAATAACGCTGCGGTCAACAGGGGGGTGCCGAGATTTCCTCAAGATCCGGATTCCGTTTAAATCCCCCGAAGTAGGATGGATGGGTCGCATGGTCGTTCTGTTTTTAAGTTTTGGAGAAACCCACCATGCTGGTTTCCCTCCTGGCCGTAGCCATCTCTGTTCCCACCCACCATGCACACGGGCTCTACGAAGAGCTTGAAAACCATTTATTAGGAAACCATGAGAAGTCTGGGTCCACGCAACATGCAGAGTGTCTCGCCGCCGGTGGCCTCGATGGGTGGATTCCGAGTCATCGTTTTTTTCCTTAATTTAAAATGCTTTTGGGGGCATCTGCTCTCTGTCTTGGGGTTGGAGCGAGTGTGTCCTCCTTTTCGCTTCCTTTTCCTCAGATCCGTGGTGGGCCCTCAGGATGGGCTCTGAGCGCAGCCTGCCCTTCCAGGAAAAGCGCCGAGCTCCAGAGGCCGCCCGGAAATACAGCCCCGGTGTTGGGGAGGCACGGAAGGGCACTCAGCGTCCACCCAGGAAAATGAAAGTGGGCGTTAGTTCATTCAAGTTTGTCGCTCTGTGTCAGAGATCTCTCTCTCTGTCCCTGTCTCTTCATCTCTCTTGTGTCTCTTGATCTCTCTGACTCTCTTTATCTCTCTGACTCTCTGTCTCTATCTCTCCATCTGTCTCTGTCTCTCTGACTCTCTTTATCTCTGTCTCTGTCTCTGTCTCTCTACCTTTCTGACTCTGATCATCTCTCTGTCTCTTTCTCTGACTCTCTCTCTCTGACTCTCTTTATCTCTCACTCTCTGTCTCTATCTCTCCATCTATCTCTGTCTCTCTCTCTGACTCTCTCTCTCTGACTCTCTTTATCTCTCACTCTCTGTCTCTATCTCTCCATCTATCTCTGTCTCTCTCTCTGACTCTCTTTATCTCTCTGACTCTGTCTCTGTCTCTCTACCTCTCTGACTCTTTATCTCTCTGACTGTCTATGTCTCTCTCTCTCTGACTCTTTATCTCTCTGACTCTCTGTCTCTATCTCTCCATCTATCTCTGTCTCTCTGACTCTTTATCTCTCTGACTCTCTGTCTCTGTCTCTTTCTCTCTCTGACTCTTTATCTCTCTGACTCTGTGTCTGTCTCTCCATCTGTCTCTCTCTCTCTGACTCTCTATCTCTCTGACTCTGTGTCTCTCTCTCTCCATCTATCTCTGTCTCTCTCTGACTCTCTTTATCTCTCTGACTCTCTGTCTCTCTCCGTCTGTCTCTCTCTCTCTGACTCTCTTTATCTCTCTGACTCTCTGTCTCTATCTCTCCATCTATCTCTGTCTCTCTGTCTCTCTGACTCTCTGTCTCTCTATCTCTCTCTGACTCTGTATCTCTCCGACTCTCTCTCTGTCTCTGTCTCTCTCTCTCCCTCTTGGGGCTCACTCCTCGTCCTCCAGTCTGCGCCCCTGGCCGTCTGCTGGGCTCCTGTCTTTGCTGGTCCGGACGACTGGTCTACCCACTATTGCCCCGTCGCCTGCACGGCACAGAGTCTCCGTCTCGTCTCCTGGGGGTCCGAGCATGGCTCTCAGAACACTATAATTTCCATTTCTCTCATTTTCCGGATGGACGAGCAGGTGCCATTACAGCCCTCCAGGGAAAATGCAAAACGTCACCTACGCCTCCCTTGCTGGTGTCCCCGGGGGAATGGTGGTGGGGGCGGCGAATGCACAGTGTGTCTGTCCATTAAAAACATGCACAACGAGGTTGCTTTTTTTTCTCTTTTTTTTTTGGACCCTTGGATTCAACCAACAGAAAATGACTGTCGATTTTTTTTTTTTTTTTCAGTTTACAAACACGCTCAGTGTCTGAACGTGTCTTGTGGCCAATGGCTAACCAGACAGGTCCCGGGATGGCGCCCGTCTGCGGACCACACTCCCGGGGGTTGGGGGCCGGGGTGGGGGGGACTCTGATCTGGGAGCACGTCCAGCCCGCCCTCCTTATTTCTCTGGAAGGGGACTATTTGAAAATGCACACACCCCTGTCCTCAGCGGCTTCATTCTCCACGCCGGTTATCTTAAAAACGTCCTATCCAACTGCGGACGGGAGCTGTGCTCCCCTCTGGTTCTGGGGTCCCGGGACCACCGACGTCGAGGCGGGCCTGTCCCCCAAAAAACTGGGTCCGGAGACCCCAAGCCATCCTTCCGCAAAGCCGGAGGAAGGACGGAGCCAACCGCCCTCAGCTCTGGAGGGCCGTGTGGTCTGAGGTCCTCTCTGACCCTCAGGCTCTTCTTCTGGGCTCACGAGGTTGTCGGACAGATTCAGGTGGTGGGTGCGAGGTTCTGACTTTGCCTGTTCTGGCCGTTGGCCGGGGTCGGGGGGGGGGCTGCTCTCAGCTCCCAGAAGCTGCCCTTTGAGGGTCTTGGCCCCATGGGTGTCTGACAAGATGGCGGCTCGCTTCTTCCAGGCCAATGGAAGGAGCCCTCTCCGTCGGGTCTGCTAACGAGAGGGCGGGTGATATAACGAAGTGGAGTCATGGGAGTGGCGTCCCATCGTCCTTGCCGTCTAAGGACCCTAATCCAGGGGCCGCCACCCCGACCTCTTTGCCATATGCCGTTGACTAGCGGCAACTCATAGGTCCCAACTGCGCTCAAGGATTGGGGATCATTGAGGGTCTTCCTAGCGTACGCCCCCCACGTTGGTCCTTCCCTATCTTTCTGAGGCAATAGGGGCACCCGTGACCGTGTCTACACCTCCTGTCACGGTGTCGGTGGTGGGTTGGAAGATAACCGGGCGTTTCCTCTCCGTTCGCAGTGGAGTTTCTATACTGCGATCTGGCGTCTATGCAGTCGATCCGGCAGTTCGTGCAGAAGTTCCAGAGAAAGAGGATCCCTCTCCACGTCCTGGTCAATAACGGTGAGTTCTGGGGGGCGGGGGGGACCCACACGTTGATTCTGACGTGGACACGAACCCCCCCAGCCTTCCCGTGAGAGACGTCGTGCCTCGGGACAGCGGGATTCCCGGGGGAAATCCGTGAGTCTGCGTGCCCTTTGCGGCCACCGCTTTGGTGCCGTGACGCGTTGGGCTTTCGTTCTTGGCGTGATCGACTTTCGGACGTCGCTTGGCAAGGACGGTGCGATCATACATCGTGAGGACTCCATGCTTTGACCGGTGTGCTTGGGCTTCCCTTGGACGAGCGTTTATCCGTGTGATAATGGATTAGAATTCCAATAGGATCAATCATGGCGGGCAGAGAGGAGCTGTGAACATGGTGGACATGCTGTCGGGCGATCGATCTGATTTCCTCGTTAGACTTAACACCCTCAGAGATTACTAACCGGGGCCGTTCATCACACAGCAATTGGGCAGTGACAGCGCGGAAGTGATCTTATGTCTTTGGGGACGTTATTCCGTCTACACATGGGGACGAGGACGTGGGCGTCTTTGGGGACATCATTCTGTCTACACACGGGAATCAGGACGCGGACGTCTTTGGGGACGTTACTCTGTCCACACACGGGGACGAGGACGTGGGCGTCTTTGGGGACGTCATTCTGTCTACACAAGGGGACAAGGACGTGGGCGTCTTTGGGGACATTCTTCTGTCTACACACGGGGACGAGGATGTGGGCGTCTTTGGGGACGTCATTCTGTCTACACACGGGGACGAGGACGTGGGCGTCTTTGGGGACGTCATTCTGTCTACACAAGGGGACAAGGACGTGGGCGTCTTTGGGGACGTTCTTCCGTCTACACACGGGGACAAGGACGTGGGCGTCTTTGGGGACGTCATTCTGTCTACACACGGGGACGAGGACGTGGGCGTCTTTGGGGACGTCATTCTGTCTACACACGGGGACGAGGACGTGGACGTCTTTACGGACGTTATTCCGTCTACACACGGGGACGAGTCCCGTTTTTGCAGGCTGACTTCCTGCAACAACATTTCGTGCTCTGCTCCTACTGTGTGCTTTTGGTCTCGGTCTTTGCCGTGACAGCCAGGCCGTGGCTGCCGTTGGGTCCACGGGGCCTTTTGTGGCCGACTGAGGACAGGTCCGCTCAGTCCCTGTGGGGTCCGAGGATGTGACAGCCTCTGTGTCGGTTCCGGCAGAAGCTTTGAGCCAAGGAGACATGCCCAGGGCTGGAAGTTGCATTTGTGCGCATAATGGATGCCTACTGTCTACTCCCCACGGCGTCTCTTCCATCGGGCGGGATGGCGGCCTGATAGACACGCCCAAGAAGACATCCCGTGGTGCCCGGTGCGGGTGGGCGGCTGCAGGTGGGACCAGGAGCATGCGGTCAGGACAGACCTGGGCGCTGGATGGCGGCCGGGGTCAGATTTACCTCGATTTACCGAAAGTGCAGGATTTCCGCATTTATCCGCTCACCCCGCCAAGGCCGTTGGTCCAAAGGAGTCGGGTTCATGGGCCCAACGCCTGCGACCCAGTCGCGCGCGGCGAGCGTCATGGAAAAAAACCAGCCCAGCCGTGGGCTCCGCCAAAAGCTCCCTTCCAACAGCCAACGGAAAGCTACACGCTGTGTGGGCGTGGTGTTTTTTCTTTTTTTCCTATTTCCTTTTTTTTATCCTTAAAAAGAGAGCCATCCAGATTTTGCAAATGTTGAGCCCCACGGGGCGTTTGAAATCATTTCGCGTCTGCCAGCGAGCGTGACGAAAAGCGACGCAGACCGACCGACTCTTTCGGGCGGTTGGGGGAAGCTCGTGCGCGAGGCTGACGATCCAATCGTCCGACGCCAGTGTAGACGACGGTAGGCCTCTTCCGGACGGAGCCGGCTCCGGATTTATGGTTTATTCCCGTCCAGTCAACCGTTGTATATTGACCCGGCTGCCCAGCCCCGGCTCTGCATGCTGACAGACTTGCAATAACCGCACGGGATTTATATTTTCATCCCTGGAGAACTTCCCCCCATGACTCTAATGGGTGAATTTCCCAAGATCAAAAAGTACAAGAAATTATGTTTTCAGCCCAAAAAAAAAAAAAGTGTCAGCGGTGACCCTGGGAAAAATAACCGGTGCGTGATGGGTTTCCCTGTAACAGGAGCTTCCAGGAAGCGGGTTGAAAACCACAGCGGTTTTCCAATGACCCAGATGCTCCAGAAGCGTTGGGCCCAGGAGCTCTCAGAAGAGTCGGGCGCTGAAAATCCACCGGCTTCCAGGGTCCCCGATTTTGCATATGGCGGATCCCAGTGGGTGGTTGCGGGTTTCGGTCGAGGATCTGGTCTTTTTGCCGTGATCCTGGGGCGCGGGATGGGCGATGGGAGTCGGCCCTCGGGGATGACAGAGAGGAAGTCACCCAGGAACGGAAATGTGGGCAATATGGCGACTGAGCGTGATGTTCGAACCCGCCTCCGGGATGCTGTCGCCAGTGTTTTCTCTACTGAATCCAGACTTAATTTGGACACGCTGATCAGCCCCTTTGATTTCGACATTGGGATCGGCCCACGGAGCGACGGTGGGTTCGCCACCCTCTGAGTGCTCCACCCCATACCTGTGTCCCGCTAGATGGATGAGTATTGGGGTTCCTTGCCACCCGCCCCCCACCAAGACTTGCCTCACATCACAGATATTCATTCATCAACACATTTTTCCGGCAATCCTCCCCCAAGACACGCGGACTACCCTTTCCCTACTCACGTTTGACAGGTGGATGCGGAACCCTCATGGCCCTTCCGGAACGTTCCATCCTCCTTCCTTCGCATTTTTTTGCGTTCCTCTCTTGACGGCCTCGGTGGCCACCTTCCCGAGGTCTTCGGTTTCGCGTTCTCTGGGGTCAACAGACTCAAAACTTTGGCTCCAAAGGTCGATTTGGCGGTCGGTCCTCAGACGGCGGGATGGCGGGCAGAGTGGACGCAAACGTTCCTCCTGTTGTGCAGTTCGACCTTCGCCCAGCTGGAATGCGCCCCGTCCTTCTCTCTGCGCGTCTCTGTGTGTCTCTGAGCGGTCCTGTCCCCCCCGCCCCCGCCCCAGCTAAACAGTGGCTTCACGTTGGGTTGTCTTGTCCGTCATCGCCGGGAAATGCGTCATAGGGACGGAGCGGATGGAGTATTTTCAGCCTGAGGGAGAGTGGGCTGCGGTCGTCCTTCAACCCCTGGGGCCCCCGTGAAAATGCACACGGACGAGTGTAGGCCTCGAATGCCAAGCAGGTGGAATCCAAACTCACTTCCGTGTGCCCAGGGCTGGCTGACCCGTCTGCTGGCTGTTTTCTCTGCCGCCAACGTACGGGGACGCAAGGACCATCGCGAGGAAGGGACAAACCGGCAACAACAGCCATTCCTCTGATAACAGCTTCTCCTGAACTCACCAGACTGCAGTCCTAGGAGCTCACGGGGGGTTAACACACCCCACAAATTCAGCCAGCGGTCCTCGATTCCCCATCACACGGGGGATTTTCCGGCAAAATTTTGTCGCTCAGCAGACGGTGTGGAGCGGCTGCCCATTGGTCCCACAAGACAAGACTCTCTACTTGGAATTTATCGTTTGGGCATGTGCTCGTATCCCACCGTCTCCTGCTGCGTCACACACCACCCCCCCAATCCTCCTGGCTCACCCCATTTTGTCTTGCGTGCCCTTTGGGGGCACGGGCATCGGGACCCTTCGAGCCCTGGGTGTCACGGGGTTGCAGCTGAGGCCGCCATCATCCAACGGCTCAAGGGGGCCGGACCTCCAGGATGGCTCCCTCTCGAGGTGGGACGTTGGGGTTTGTTTCCCCGTTGCCCGGGCTCACGGCTTGAAGGGTCAACCCAATGGACCCTGACGTGTGGTCGCCCCGCAACAGGCGGTCTCAGGGGCTCCAGCCTCCTTATTCCATGAAGCCGGCTCTTCCCGGAGCCGCTTCTTCTTGCGCTTCTCCCGTCTTCTTGTTGCTCCCTCTGGAGCCCCGACTCCCGCATGCCTGCTCCTCTTCCTGCATTTTCTGTGAAAACAGCAATAAGAAGCATCGGCATTTATCTTTTAAATGTTACCCCCTGCTGCATCAAAGCGCTGCACCCGTGCTGGGGTCACACATCTGCACCCCAAGAACCTCGCAAGGGAGAAAGCTGCATTGGCGCCGGGGGGAGGTGTGGGGTGGGGTAACCACAAGGTGCGTCCTGCATGGGCCCCCGGGGCTGACGGGGCCTGCAGTTGGGGTCCGTGTCTCCAGGGAGGGACCTCTCAATCCAGCTGGAAAACGTGTCTACACATCCACATGCGCGAATGCACCCACGTAGAAGATCGCGTATGGAAATGCATGCGCAGGCACAGACAGATATAAACACCCGTACATCCACAAATACATGGAAAATACAGACATGCACCGTCATACGTGGCTGAGCAATGGGGATGCATTCTGCAAAAAGCATCGTGAGGCCGTTCCGTTGCTGTGCGAACATCGTGGTGTCACTGACACAAAGCTAGAGGGCATAGCCTCCTGCACACCTCTGTGGTACTATGGTACTATCTGTGGCTCTCTGGGACTAATCTAGGCGGCCACTGTCGTGTGTGCCGTCTGTCATGGGCTGCAATGTCGTTCTGCAGCGTGAGACTATAGAAACACACGGACATATAAAGTACACACACATAAGCACAAACGCACATCCCTATCCAGACGCATACAGAGAGAGAAGTGGATACACATTCAAATATAAATGCCTGCACATTTCTAAATGCACGCACAAACGCAGACACAAAAAAAATGTGCCTGTGTGCATGCAAATCAAACACATATCCAAATTCATGAACAAAGCCAAAGATAAACACGGACACAAAAATGTGGCAAAGCATATGCAAAGAGAAATACATATCTGCATGCAAAACACATGAAGGCATATGCAAAACACAAACACATATGCAAAACATAAATGCATATGCAAAATACATAAATACATATGCAAAACATAAGTGCATATGCAAAACATAAATACACATGCAAAATACATAAATGCATATGCAAAATACACAAACACATATGCAAAACACAAATGCATATGCAAAACACAAATACATATGCAAAAGCGTGAACTATGAATATGTATTCGTTTGCAAATGCCTCTGCTCATATACTTAACACATACAAGCATATTTATGTACACTCACGCATACACATGTGTTGCATGCAAATACATGCAAATATATGCAAATGCTCCCACACATGCAAATGCACAGGCATGCTCATAGTGTATATGCCAGAGGAAATACACGTATTATAAATGCATAGGTGTTTACAAACACACGTGTGCATGCGAATACACATCCAAACGCACATGCCAACGCCAAAATGTATGTGTAAACGTGTTATCGTGGTTGCACGTGCATATCTTTGCAAATGCATGCACGTAAACATATGCAGATACATATATGCATGCATATGCATGTACGTATGCAGATGCATCTATAATAAACGTAAACCCACAGCCTTCCATACGCACAGACAACACGCACGCGCCCGTCCGTCTGCCGGAACATATGCCCACCTACACGTTACCCCCACACAGACACACACACATCCCAGCAAGCCGGCCCGCTCGAGGTGATGCCACAATGCGGGCCGGTCCCGTGTCCTGCACTAGCCATCTGGGCTCCAGCCTCCGAGGGAAAGGACTCGGGGACGAGGATTTATCTGGGCTTTGCTACGCGAGAGCACAGAACACACTTTTACAGAAGTGTGTTTAGGGAACGACGGCCGACGGGGCTGGACTTGGGGTCTCGGGGTGTGGACGGCCGACGGGAATCCTCGGGTCTGCGTTTCCCACGGGGCGCCCTGAGGAATGAGTCCGTTCCTGGGGTACCCTGGGAAGGAGGGAACACCACCCTCTCTACCCCACCCAGTGGGCTCCCGATGTGGCTGCGAATTAACCGCCTTTGGGTGACCCAGCCCACCCTCCCTTGAGTGTGAATCCTCCTATTTCATCATTGCTGCTGTCATTTTGACAAGAATCAGGCGCGAAAGGATCTCACCCATCTCCCGGCACGGCCCCACCGCGTCCAGAGTGGGAAACCGAGGCACGGGGAGGGGAGAAGGCAGCCGGGACCCGAGCCCGCCCTCGCGGCGCCCAGGGCTGTTTCCGCGTCCGCCCGTGGGTCGGCTCTGTCGCCTCCTGTCCTCGAACGCTCGCTGATGCTCCCTTTCTTCCCAGCCGGGGTCATGATGGTGCCGCAGAGGAAGACCGTGGACGGCTTTGAGGAACACCTGGGCTTGAACTACCTGGGCCACTTCTTGCTGACCAACCTCCTCCTGGACACCCTCCGGGACTCGGGGTGTCCCGGCCGCAGCGCGAGGGTGGTGACCGTCTCATCGGCCACGCACTACGTGGGCGAGCTCAACCTGGCCGACCTTCAGGGCAGGTGGGTGGAAGTTCACGGCTGCACCTGTGGGATATGCCCACAATGCACTGGGCACGAGGCTCTGCAGCCCCGGCCACTTTGTATCCGTCTGCCTCACAGGAACACGTCGAAACTTTGTATCAGCATTTGTCGATACTTTGTATCCACCTGTCTCTCTCACAGCGACCCTTTGATACTTTGTATCGGTGTTTATTGATACTTTGTATCGGCCTGTCTCCCAGCAATCCTTTCATACTTTGTGTCAGTGTTTGCTGATACTTTGTATCGACCTGTCTCAGTGATAGTTTGGTTCTTTGTATCAGCATTTTGTCGATAAAGTATCGACCTGTCTCATGGTGAAACTTTTGTATGGTGTCTGTTGATACTTGTGTTGACCTGCCTCACAGTGGAAATTTGATACTTTGTATCAGCATTTGTCGATACTTTGTATCGACCTGTCTACCTTCAATCCTTTGATACTTTGTATCAGTTTTCATTGATTCTTTGTATCGACCTGTCTCAGTGCTAGTTTGCCTCTGTGTTTCAGCGTTTGTCGATACTTTGTATCGCCCTGTGTCGCCAGTGATACTTTGTATTGTGTTTGTTGATACTTTGTGTTGACCTGTCTCATAGTGAAAATTCGATACTTTGTACCAGCATTTGTTGATACTTTATATCGACCTGTCTCCCATCAACCCTTTGATGCTTTGTATCAGTGTTTATTGATACTTTGTATCGACCTGTCTCATAGTGATAGGTTGGTTCTTTGTATCAGCATTTTGTCGATACTTTCTATCGACCTGTCTCACGGCTAAACTTTTGTATGGTGTTTGTTGATACTTTGTATCGGCCTGTCTCCCAGCAATCCTTTCATACTTTGTGTCAGTGTTTACTGATACTTTGTATCGACCTGTCTCAGTGATAGTTTGGTTCTGTGTGTCAGCGTTTGTCGATACTTTGCATCGACCTGTCTCACCAGTGATACTTTGTATTGTGTTTGTTGATACTTTGTGTTGACTTGTCTCACAGTGGAAATTTGATACTTTGTACCAGCATTTGTTGATACTTTGTATCGACCTGCCTCGCAGTGATGCTTTGATACTTTGTATCAGCGTTTGCCATACTTTGTTTCGACCTGTCTCACAGGGAGACTTTGAAACTTTGTATCAGCTTTTGATACTTTGTATCAGCCTGTCTCATAGTGATGATTAGATTCTTTGTATCAGCTTTTGTTGATAATTTGTGTTGCCTTGCCTCGCAGCGATGCTTTGATACTTTGTATCAGTGTTTATTGAGACTTTGTATCTGTCTCTGGTAGTAATAGTCTGATCCTTTGTATCAGCATTTTGCTGACACTTTGTGTCTACCTCTCTCACAGCAATGCTTTGATACTTTGTATCAGCCTGTCTCATAATGATGTTTAGATTCTTTGTATCAGTTTTTGCTGAGACTTTGTGCCTCCCTGTCTCGCAGTGATACTTTGTATCTGTGTTTACTGATACTTTGTTTCTACCTGTCTCATCGTAATGACCTGGTGCTTTGTATCAGCCTTTGTTGATACTTTGTATCGACCTGTCTCGCATCGATCATTTGACACTTTGTGTCAGCGTTTGTCATACTTTGTATCAATCTTTCTCCCATCGATCCTTTGAAACTTTGTATCGGCTTTTGTTGATACTTTGTATCAGCCTGTCTCATAGTAATAAGTTTCATGACCCATATCTACTCACCGTTTCCTATTTTGCATTCACCTAGTTGAACACTCGACCCGTCTCAGTCCGTTTTTGCATCTTCAAAATGCTTTGAGGCAAATACAATTATTATCCTCGTTTCAGGCGTACGGAAAGTGAAACAACTGTTGTTTTTTTTAAAACATGTTCCTAATATCTCTAGGCGATGAGGATAGAGCCAAAGTTCCAGCCCAGGAAATGGGACTACAAAACGGTAAAAAATCGTCAATTGAGAGTTAGGTGTTTTATCAGCATCATTGAACAGCTCTGCAAAAGTTTTGCACTGTTCTGTTTTCATGCTTCCTGAAGCGCATGCTGTTTTGGGTTTTTTTTTTAGCATTTTTTTACTGAGATATAATGCACCTATTACTTTCTACTAGTATCCGGTGCACACCACCACGATTCGGTATTTGCACATGTGCTGAAATGACGGGCAGAATAAGTCTCTCAACATCCATCCTCGTCAACCATTGGCATCTTCTCCCCGGGCAGCTTGCCTGTGTGCTGTTATCATTATTATTATTCTTATTATTATCTTGGAGAAAGAGACCAGAAAGAGAGAAGTCAGACCCAGAGAGGCATGAAATCAGGAGGATTTCAGTGTTCTCCTTTGCACCCGGTTGCAAATGCAACGAGCTGGCTCCGCCTGGCTGGTTCACGTTGACTCGACCATGCACAGTCTCTATATTCTGAGCTTCCCTGTCGCCCCGGCTCGAGGACGAAAGACTCCGTGTGTGTGAATAGGACGTGTGTTTCTTCCTCAGTGCGTGTGCAAACAGCTGTGCATGGCATTAACGGGATGCTTGCAACGATTGGACGCTCGGTTGACCCGGCCTTTGAATCCAGGGCCAGGCTCTGGGGTTTGCACCCGGGGGGCGGGACCCCCGCCACCACCCTGGCCCCATAATCCTCAGGCCTGAGAGGAAGGCGACCCCGCCGTGCAGACCCCAGAGGCGTTGGACAGGGTTATTGTCCCTGCACAGTGAGAGGCGGCTGGAAGGAAGGAGGGCGGGGGTCGTCCCGGGATGCCCTCGTCCGTCCACTTAGCCAAAGCCGGCTCCCGGGTGGGCGGGGTTCTGCGCTTAAGGCCCTTCTTTGTTTGCTTAAATTTTCCTGTCTCAAAGCAAATCACAGGCGTTTAGTAGAGGAAGATGGGCACAGATGTGAGCTCAGGGTCAGTCTTCCTCAGCATAAAAGAAGAGGATTGGTGACAGATGTTCGCTCAGGGCCAATCTTCCTCAGCAAAAAAAAAAAAATCCTCAGACCCCACCCCAGCCTTCCTGAACCCAAACTCTGGGCTGCGGCCAGGCGGTGGGAGCTGTGACAAGCCCCTCAGGGCATCCTGATGTGGCCTAAAATTTGAGAAGCACCTGGCTTGAGACCAGCCTGCTTTTCTGTGTCCAAAATGTCGGTTCCTGGCTTGCATCTGATGTAGACGCCGCTGGCGGTTATGGTTCTTGGCCGAGACTGATTGGCTGGCTTGGAAAATTCGCGTTCTTGTCCAGGCAGCAATCCCCACATGGCAGAGTGTGCCAAACGCCCAGCGCGTTGGGACACACAGAGGGCCTGTCGGCTCGGCTAGGCTGCGCCGGAACATTCCAGAAAAGGAAAAGCTGGGCGGGGTCTGTTGACACTTGTCATCAGTGGAATTGACGCATGAAGAAATGGATAGTTTTGTTAAAAAGCAAGTTTTATTTTGTGTGGAGGAAGTTAAAAATGCTATGCATTATTTAAGTTAAAAAATTATGTAAGTTATTTATTTTAGATTATATATTATATATTATGTTTATATATTATATACAAATATATATATTTAAGTTATATATATTTACATATAAGTATTGTATGTTACATTTATAAAAATTATAAATATATTTTAAAAATAAATAAATATAAATAATAAATATATAATAATATATGTCTAATAAAAATATAATATAAATATTATAAATAATGACTAAATAAAATAAATAAATAAATAAAATAAAAATAAATAGAAGTAATAAATATATAACGTATAATAATATATTATACATATAATAAAAATATAAATATTATAATGACTAAATTAAATAAATAAAATAAATAAAATAAAAATAAATACAAATAATAAATATATAATATATAATAATATATTATGTGTATAATAAAATATAATATAAATATTACAAATAATGAATACATAAATTAAATAAACAAAAATTTAAGAAATTTAATTAATTAATTAATTAATTAATTAAATATAAGTAAAATATAAAAATAAATATATTTATAAAGATTATAAATATATAATTATAAAAATTTTTAAATATATATCTACATGCTATTTATGATATACAAGTATATAATAAATATATATAATATATCTTATAGGTAAAGAAATCAATCTATCTATCTAATCTCTATCTATGAGAGAGACAATGAGTTTTTTTTTTGAGGAATTGACTCCCACAGAGAGGCTGGCCAGTCTGGAATTTGCCGGGTGGACCAGCAGGCTGGAGATCTGCGTAAGCGTTATGTTGCAATCTTGAGCCTCAAGGCTGGTAAGTCAGGCAGGATTTCTGTGCGGTGGTCTGCAGGCCAAATTCCTCCTTTTTGGGGGGAACCTCAATCTTTTCTCTTAATGCCTTCAACTGATTGGGCGAGGCCCACCCTCAGCAGGCAGGCATCGATCGGCTTTCCTCCTACTCTACCCGTTACTAATCACTTCTGAAAAACGCGGCAACGTCTAGATTCACGTTTGACCAAACAACCGGGCACCACAGCCTGGCCACGTGGACGTGTAAAATTAACGACAACAGGCGTGGATGTGGGCGAGGAGTTCTGTCAATGGCAGGGGTGAGTGACACCTCGTGGTGTCCGGCGGGGGCGTTCTGCCTCCTACCTGCTCAGCACCCTGGTCCGTCTGCCGTGCCCAGCCTCCTGTACCCGTGGGCGCCTCAGGACCAAAGAGATCCTCGGTGGGTCTTCTCCGAGCTCCCCGCGTGGGAAGACGTCATTGCCCCTCTCCTCGGAATAGGGCATCTTGACTGTCCTCTGACCCTCACCCCTTAAGGCAGATGGCTGTTTACTGGGATGCCCCGGGCCAAAAAGGAAGTCGGGTCATCTTGTCTCCGTGCCCCAGCCCAAGGCAGGCAAGTTCCCTGGTCCTGGCTCTCATCCTCAGAACACATAAGATTGTTCACGGTTGCAATTTAGCACCCTTTATTAAATGCCATGTCAGCCCCTGAGTCTAACTGTCTCTTTGGGGTTTTCATGTCTTTTCTAGGAAGCCCCTCATACATGTAAAGTTGAACAAAATGAAATCTGTATACTTTTCTCTTGTGAATCTGTCACTCATCCGTTTAATTTGCAGGCCCCAGTCGCCAAACCTAAGAGTGTGGAGAAAAAGATTTCCCTCCCCGACAAAAGGCCGTCACGTTACCATCTCTACTTTTGTTTCAGACTGAGCTTTGAGTTATTCTTGAAGTAGTTACGTTAATAAAGGATTAACTATTGGAAAGAATGATACACTTTTATGTTGTCAGTCCTACCTTTTGGCATCATTGATTACAAAAGCTGCTTATTAAAAATGCCATGTTTCCGGGCCGGCCCAGGGGGCGTAGCGGTTAAATTCGCACACTCTGCTTTGGCGGCCTGGGGTTTGCGGGTTGAGATCCCGGGTGCAGGCAACCTCTTCTGAAATTCCTTCTCCTCTTGGGCTAATTTGGGATGGGAGGCTGGTCCCGTGACACTTAACTGAAATCTCAGCCTTCACTCCCCCCCCCCCCGCCCACCCCGCTGCTTAATTACTCCCTCAGGAGACAGAAGGAATTTGCCAAAAAAACAAGGATCTTGACGCTAATTGGAGGGGTTGGAGCCCGTCTTGGATCAGGAGACGTGTGCAATTTGCAAAACGGCAGGAGAGTTTGCAGGAAATCCCGCTGCTGCCATGAGCCTACAAAAACCTGCTCCTCCCGGGTCCTCGGAGGGGGAGAAATGCAGATTAAAATGACCCTCAGATGCCGCTTGCACAACTTTTAAGGCGGCCCGAAATCCAGAAATCGGGCCACACCGAAGGCGGGCGAGGATGCACGGGAGCAAAGACTCTGGGTCGTTGCTGGTGGGAATGCAAAAAGCGTGCAGCCGGGTTGCACGGCGCCTGGGGGGTTTTTTTTGTAAGAATGCTCCTCTTCGGGTTCAACTCGGCCAGGAGAAGCGCCCCCCGTCTGTAGGATCTCAGGAGCAGTTGAGTTTCTGCTCCCCGTCGCCTCCGTCCCGGAATCCACAGCTTTCAAGATGCAGGAAGTGCCGCCTGCTTGGATAAAGGAAAACAAACTGAAACCCTAAGAATGGACCCATAAATGCTGCAGACGTCACCGAAAATGGGCGTTTTGTCCGTGTTCACTCATTCGTTCTGTACGTCGAGTTTTGATTTTAAATCGTTGGCCAATTTTTTTTACTCAGTAACAGTAACAGTGTTTATTGTTATAACAGTTATATGTTATATTACATTATGACAGTCGTATTATTACTTATATAGGTTGTTATGTTACAGCAGTTGCTATTGTTATAAAAATATTAGTTATAATGTCAGTTATTAATTATAATGTAGCAATAATGTAACACTGTGTAATGTCACAATAATGTAACAGTAACAAATTGTTGCGGTTTTCCGGGATACATTTCAGACACTGGAGTTACTAAGTTCAACGATTGGCACAATTTTAAAGAAAAATGTTAGTTATAATGTTACTAGTTATTCATTATAATGTAACAATAATATAATAGTAACAAATTGTTGTGGTTTTCCCGGGATACATTTCAAACACCGGAGTTACTATAGACACAATTTTAAAGAAAAATATTAGTTATAATGTTACTAGTTATTAATTACAATGTAGCAATAACGCAACACTGTGTCATGAAACAGTAACAAAATGTTACGGTTTTTCTGGGATACATTTCAAACACTGGAGTTACTATAGACACAATTTTAAAGAAAAATATTAGTTATCATGTTATTGGTTATTAATTACAATGTAGCAATAACGCAACACTGTGTCATGAAACAGTAACAAAATGTTACGGTTTTTCTGGGATACATTTCAAACACTGGAGTTACTATAGACACAATTTTAAAGAAAAATATTAGTTATCATGTTATTGGTTATTAATTACAATGTAGCAATAATGTAACCCTGTAACGTAACAATAATGGAACAGTAACAAATTGTTGCGGTTTTCCCGGGATACATTTCAGACACTGGCGTTACTAAGTTCAACGATTGACACAATTTTAAAGAAAAATGTTAGTTATAATGTTACTAGTTATTAATTACAATGTAGCAATAATGCAACACTGTGTAATGAAACAGTAACAAAATGTTACGGTTTTTCTGGGATACATTTCAAACACTGGAGTTACTATAGACACAATTTTAAAGAAAAATATTAGTTATAATGTTACTAGTTATTAACTACAATGTAGCAATAACGTAACACTGTGTCATGTAACAGTAACAAATTGTTACGGTTTTCCGGGATGCATTTCAGACACTGGCGTTACTAAGTTCAACGATTGGCACAATTTTAACGACGTGGATACGCGTGGTCGTGGTGCCCGTGACAAAGAGACAGTAATTGGCTTCGTGGGCGCGGGCCCTTCCTTTTCACATCTGGACCCCGTCCCCCGTCCTTCAGCATCAGGAAGGATGACTTCGTGGAATTTAACCAGAGTTACGGGAAAATAGGCACATGTCCTCATTTTTATTCCTTTATTTTACCAAAAAAAAAATAAATAGGTTAGCTTACGGGGCATCTAGTCTTTTCCTTTTTTTATAGCTGGTGGATAGCAGATAAAGTTAAATTTCAGGAAAAAAGAACTATTGGCATGAAGAATGGCCGCCACTCCTGAGTGACAAAGGATGCGCTTGGCCGTGACGCCCTCCCAGTTTTCAGGCTGTTGGCACCCCGTAAAATCATCTCTCTGTTCCCGTCGGCAGCAAAAAACCGACCCGGGGGGCGGCTGGCCGCTCTGCATCGGAGTGCGAGAGATGTCGGCCCGTCTTCCCCAAGCCTTGAAAATTCAAATTTAAAGGAGGTCCTCGAGATCGCCCCACAGATTGGAAAAAGGAGCAGCTCCAACCAAGATCTCTGGCCTCGTGGTGTGTGCATGCCAGCCCTGTCATTCTTTTTTTTTTTTTTTTTTGGTGAGGAAGATTGGCCCTGACCTAACATCTGCTGCCAATCCTCCTCTTTTTTTTTTTTTTTTTTTGCTGAGGAAGACTGGCCCTGAGCACTAACAGCTGCTGCCAATCCTCTTTTTTTTTTTTTTTCTTTTGCTGAGGAAGACTGGCCCTTAGCCCTAACATCTGCTGCCAATCCTCTTTTTTTTTTTTTTTTTTTTGCTGAGGAAGACTGGCCCTGAGCACTAACATCTGCTGCCAATCCTCCTCTTTTCTTTTTTTTTTTGCTGAGGAAGACTGTCGCTGAGCCAACACCAGTGCCCATCTTCCTCTATTTTATGTGGGACGCCACCACAGCGTGGTTGATGAGCGGTGCTAAGTCCGTGCCCGGAATCCAAACCTGTGAACCCCGGGCTGCTGAGGCAGAGCGTGCAAATTTCATAACCCCGACGCCAGCAGGCCAGCCTGCAAAGGGGAGGCGGCTGCAAATGGACGTGGCGAGGGCCAGGGCTGCAGGGCACGGGGTGGGGACTCTGGGCCTGGACCGCCTCTCACGCCGTCTCCTCCTTTGTCTCCACAGCAGGAGCTACTCCCCGCACGGGGCCTACGCCCAGAGCAAGCTGGCCCTGGTCCTCTTCACTTATCACCTCCAGGGGCTGCTGGCCGCCCAGGGCAGTCCCGTGACCGCCAACGTGGCCGACCCCGGCGTGGTCGACACCGACCTCTACAAACACGTCTTCTGGCCCACGCGTCTGGTCAAGAAGCTGTTCGGCCGGTGGTTCTTCAAGGTAAGTCCCCGACGGTTCCCGTGTCCGTGCCGACTGTGCGAGCGCGGGCCACACGGGCGGGCCGCCACCTCCAGGACGCTTGCACGGAGTTTGGCGCAAGAACCACCAAGGAGGATGAACTCGTTATGTCCACACTCGGGGGTGTGAGCATCACAGCAGCCCTGGTCTCAGAGAGCGGACTTTAGGCCCGAACGCAGTTCCGTTTTTGTTAGGTTCTTGTTGAGAAATTCACCCCTGGGGGGTATTTTTTCCTCATTGCAACCCAATTCGCGGCCGGCAGGGTGTTTGCAGGGAGCCGTGCACGACGAAGGCACCTGCTTGTTATTTTGCTGAATCTGGGACCCGGGTCCGGCCTTGGGTCCCGCGCGTGTGTGTCTGAGACTCCATCGCTGTGTGACGATCCCACGTGACGACCGTCTCTGTTTTCTGAACGTCTACAATCCGCTTCCACGTTGGGCCTGGGGACCAGAATCTGAATGCTTTTCGGAGGTGTTTTTATTCATTCCCGTCCGTTTCCTGTTGCGTTCATCGTCGTTATTTAGGAAGTTGGAATGTTTGTTTCCGCCGTGAAGAGGATTAAAAAAAATTGGCAAACCGTGAATACAACAAAATAAAATATTTAAAAGTCGGTAATAAAGTGAGCGCACACACCGCGGGATCGGGTGCATGCTTTTCCCCAAATTCGCCTTCCTTCCTCCCAAAAAGGTAACCAACCCCCTTCTCCGGGACGAGGTGTGGACCGTTCTCTTGTTTCTCCTGATAAATGCTCCACATCTTAACTGATGCCATCGCCGACGTTTTATTATTTCTCATCGAGTTTCCGTCTCTCATCTTTTTCCACCACCCAACTATTTAATCTGCAAATGCTCACCATCATCACCTCCTTGCTTCTAACGCATATGCTTCTTGTGATATTGTTTCTATCCACTCAATAGATGATTAAATAATTGATCGAATATCTTCTTGATGACGGTGGAAAAACACGATATTTCTTCTTTATCTGAATACTTGCCTATATGATCGTCTGTTGTGCTTTGTTATGTGCTGTGCTGTATGTTAGCCCCATTTCGCTTTTTTTTTAAAATGAAGTCTTCCTGGCGAATTTTCTCCCTTATTGGAATAACTCAGATCAGGATGTCGCCCGGATCGGAGGGTCCTGCCTTTCGAGAAGGAGTCGTCCTGTCCTTGGGCATCCTTTGGTCGGACCCTGAGGGCTTCCCTGCGTTCACGTTTTCTACCCTTCTGGAGTCGATTGGGACACCTTTCTCCCTGCGATCGATCCTTGTGTGTTTGCATCCCCTTTTAGAATTCATGAGCGTAGTTAACTCTGTTTTCTCAAGATCGGCCCTCCTCCTTGCTCCGGCTTCCATCTCAAGGTTCCCCATTTTTCTCAGAGCTCCTGGAAGGGTCGATGGACTCCCCAACTCTTCCTTCGCTTGCTCCTCAACTCATCTTTTATCCCCTCCCGCCTCAGGCAAAGGGGCTTCAAACGCTTCTTTCAAATTCTTAAGTTCTTTCAGCAGTAAAACATCCCACGTACAAAGTAGAGGAGGACGGGCACAGATGTTAGGTCCGGGCCAATCTTCCTCCAGCAAAAAAAAAAAAAAAAAAAGAGGAGGGGGAAGATTGCCAACGGATATTCGCTCAGGGCCAATCTTCCTCACCAAAAAAAAAAAAAAGGAAATGGACTTGAATTCAGAGCCCTGGGCAAGCCGGTTAGTACCTTGAGAAACACACGGGAGATCTACACATTTATAAAGAGGAGGGGCTTAGTGTGTGTGTGTGATTTTTTTTTTTTTTTTTTGCACAGACAAATCACGACCGTTCTGTTTCTGGAGCCATGGGCATGGATCATGGGCCCATAGGATGGAGGGGTTTTGAGGGGGAAGACGGAGAGAATTGGGGGGGTCTCTGGAAGAAGCCAAGTCTGGCCGTTCCACGCAGCTCCTTCCCCCCCACCCCCGCAGTGCCCCTCGCGTTTGTAATTTGTTGGTTCTGGGTAATAATATCTCATAAGAGTGTTGTGGAAATTGCTCACACAGTAGACGCGGAAGCAATTTCCAAAACTGTAAAGCGCTGTGTAATTAGGTAATTAGGAGGCATGCATTTTTTTTCCCCGTAATCGCACATCGCTTTCAGCTCCACTTAGCCTCCTTTCAAATCCAGCCCGCGTCCCACTGCGTTCGCCTTTGATTACATTTCTCCCCGGGGGCGTGCGCCCAACCGGCCCACCATCTCCTCGGAAAGAGCAATTTTGGAGCTCGTTCACCATGGATTCGGAGCTCATGGACCAGGGACGTGGATTCAGAGCTCATGGATCATGGATTTGGATTCAGAGCTCATGGACCAGGGACGTGGATTCAGAGCTCATGGATCATGGATGTGGATTCAGAGCTCATGGACCAGGGACGTGGATTCAGAGCTCATGGATCATGGATGTGGATTCAGAGCTCATGGACCAGGGACGTGTATTCAGAGCTCATGGATCGTGGACGTGGATTCAGAGCTCATGGATCGTGGACGTGGATTCAGACTCATGGACCATGGACGTGGATTCAGAGCTCATGGACCATGGACGTGGATTCAGAGTCATGGACCATGGACGTGGATTCAGAGTCATGGACCATGGACGTGGATTCAGAGCTCATGGATCGTGGACGTGGATTCAGAGCTCATGGATCATGGACGTGGATTCAGAGTCATGGACCATGGACGTGGATTCAGAGTCATGGACCATGGACGTGGATTCAGAGCTCATGGATCATGGATGTGGATTCAGAGCTCATGGACCAGGGACGTGGATTCAGAGTCATGGATCGTGGATGTGGATTCAGAGCTCATGGACCGTGGACGTGGATTCAGAGCTCATGGATCGTGGATGTGGATTCAGACTCATGGATCGTGGACGTGGATTCAGAGTCATGGACCAGGGACGTGGATTCAGAGTCATGGACCAGGGACGTGGATTCAGAGCTCATGGACCAGGGACGTGGATTCAGAGTCATGGATCGTGGATGTGGATTCAGAGCTCATGGACCGTGGACGTGGATTCAGAGCTCATGGATCGTGGATGTGGATTCAGACTCATGGATCGTGGACGTGGATTCAGAGTCATGGACCAGGGACGTGGATTCAGAGTCATGGACCAGGGACGTGGATTCAGAGCTCATGGACCAGGGACGTGGATTCAGAGTCATGGATCATGGACGTGGATTCAGAGCTCATGGATCGTGGACGTGGATTCAGAGTCATGGATCATGGATGTGGATTCAGAGTCATGGATCGGGGACGTGGATTCAGAGCTCGTGGATCATGGACGTGGATTCAGAGCTCATGGATCGTGGACGTGGATTCAGAGCTCATGGACCCGGGACGTGGATTCAGAGCTCATGGATCGTGGACGTGGATTCAGAGCTCATGGATCATGGACGTGTATTCAGAGCTCATGGATCGTGGACGTGGATTCAGAGTCATGGATTGTGGACGTGGATTCAGAGCTCATGGACCGTGGACGTGGATTCAGAGCTCGCGGACCAGGGGAGTGAGTCAGAAGGATTCCCTGGTGGTGTTTCGGGCCGTGCCTGGCACAAGGACATGCCATAGGGATTTCCGCTGCTCCCGCTGAAGCCCCTTCTGCCATTACTACCCCGAGTTCTAGCTTCTAGGGATTCAGGCAAAATGTGGTGTTTCCTTCCTCTTCGTGCTTTTTTGATCACCTAGAACATGGCGCCCTTCAAATCTAGAGCTTGGTGTTGGGACACACAGTCATCAGCTGAGGGTGCTGTAACACAGTCCCACCGACGGGGTGCTTAAGCCACAGACATCTGGTTCTGGAGGCCGGACGTCCAGGATCAAGGTGTCAGCATGGTCTTCTTGGCTGGCAGATGGCCGCCATCTTGGTCTGTCTCCATGTGGTGGAGATAGAGACAGAGAGAGAACTCCATGGAAACAATTCACCAAGGCAGACCCTGGGCTTCGGGATCCAAACCCCTCATTTCACCTCCGTCCCCTCCTTCAAGGCCCATCTCCAAAGGCAGCCCCGTCCTGAGGTCCTGGGGGGGTCTCAGCACCCCAACCTGTGAATTGAGGGGGACACACTCATCCTGTGTCAGGCGTTGTGCATTCTAATTATGATGTGGATTCAAACCCACTCTCCCCTCCGCGTAGCCCAGCCTTTTCTGAGTCGTTTCTGGGAGAGGGCAGCACGTGCTCTGGGTGAGAATGTTGACCGGGAGCCAGCCGGTGGTCCTGGGTTTGAATCTCGGCTCCTCCACCCGCCAGCTGTGTGCCCTTGACAAAGGAGGAGACCTCTCTGAGCCTCCTTTGGCATTTTGGGTGGGGCGGTTCAGGAGCACTGAAGCCCTAGACACGCACAGGCTTTGCTGACTCCAGGTGGGCAGCGGCAGAATTGAGCCACGGTGTGCCCGGTTGGGGTCGAAACAGGACGCTGGTCGCAGCCACTGCCCCAGGAAGATGGGTAAATTCAGTGTTCCTTTCGGTAAAATAGACCCACAGGCTGTGTGAGTTCTGGGAGATGTCTCCTATTTAGAGGAAATGCATCTCTTTTTTTTTTTTTTTTTTTTGAGGAAGATTAGCCCTGAGCTAACATCTGCTGTCAATCCTCCTCCTTTTTTTTTTTTTTTTTTGCTGAGGAAGACTGGCCCTGAGCTCACATCCGTGCCCGTCTTCCTCTCCTTTATATGTGGGATGCCTACCACAGCATGGCTTGTCAAGCGGTGCCACGTCCACACCCAGGATCCAAACCGGTGAACCCCAGGCCGCTGAAGCAGAACATGCACACTTAACCGCTGCACCACCGGGCCGGCCCAATGCCTGTTTTTTTTTAATGGACCCAGGGTCCCCTTCATGACCTCATCCCCCTTCCGTGTCCCCGTCTCCCCCACACCCACCCCTTCCTGACCTGGCCCCGACCCCAACTCGTGGCGTCTCCAGGAATGCGTCTTTCCCTCCATAGACAGAGTCACATAGCCTCCCGGCCGGGGTCTGTTCCCCGTCTTCAGAGATTATAGACTTTTCGAAGCCCACGAGGGCGTGCGTTCCTGTCCGCACGCGATGAAAAGAAATATGCAACGGCCCCGGGGTCTGGTTCTGCCAGGTTGCCCACCCCGGCGGTCTGCGTGAGAGTGTCCACGCAGGTGGTGAGCCTCCCGTCTCAGCCGGCGGCCTCTCCCTGAGCCCCGAGCGTCCGGTGCGCTCCGCTCCGGCAGTCGCCGCGTCTCACCTTCCTTCCTTCCTTCCGTCCTTCTCGCCCCGCAGACCCCGGAGGAGGGAGCCTGGACCTCCGTCTACGCGGCCGTCGCCCCGGCCCTGGAAGGGGTCGGCGGCCGCTACCTTTACAACGAGAAGGAGACCCGGTCGCTCGCCGTCACCTACGACCTGAAGCTTCAGCGACAGCTGTGGGCCAGGAGCTGCCAGATGACCGGCATCCCGGACGGGACGGGGGGCGTCTTCCCGGCGTCGCTGCCACGGCGGGAGGAATAGGCGTTCAGGTGGGTGAGGGCGCCCCGTCGGCATGTTTCCCCGCTCGCCTGCTTGGTCCCCACGTCGTCCCACGGACTCAAGACCCAACTTTGATGGACGGGTCCCAGAAATGGGGGTCCATGCGCCCTCAAGTGTCTTAGGGTCATGGGACCAATGCCCATGCTATGCCGCCATCTTGAATGATGGACGGTCCCCGGGCGACCCCTGCACCCTTCAGAGCCACTCAAATGAGGTCTGGGCCCAACAGTCATGGAGGGGTGTCAACAGAGGACGAGGGGATTCTGTAGGACGGGGACGGGGCCTGGAGTCCACTCACCATGGGATCCTATAGGACGGGGACGGGGCCTGGACTCCACTCACCATGGGATCCTATAGGACGGGGACGGGGCCTGGACTCCACTCACCATGGGATTCTGTAGGACGAGGACGGGGCCTGGAGTCCACTCACCATGGGATTCTGTAGGACGGGGACGGGGCCTGGACTCCACTCACCATGGGATTCTGTAGGACGGGGACGGGGCCTGGAGTCCACTCACCATGGGATTCTGTAGGACGGGGACGGGGACGGGGCCTGGACTCCACTCACCATGGGATTCTGTAGGACGAGGACGGGGCCTGGACTCCACTCACCATGGGATTCTGTAGGACGGGGACGGGGACGGGGCCTGGACTCCACTCACCATGGGATTCTGTAGGACGGGGGCGAGGACAGCTCTCTCCTCGTCTCTGCCCCATGCTGTCCATTTTCTGTTCATTCAGGATGTCCTCTCTTGGAGACGTCTGCAGGACGCACTATATTGCAAACCATGGTGCTAATATGATGATAATCCTATTGCACGCCAAACGCTGTCCCCGTTCTCCAGGGCCTTCCCGAACTCACAGTTTCCTTATCGACCCTCTTGTATCTTTAGGTCCAGGCAACTCATCCTCCATCAGCACGAAGGCCACTCTCTATGACCTGGAAGTGGGCCCGTGGGCGGGCGAGTCCTTGGGGTTCCTTCCAGTTGGCTCCTATAGGAGTTCAACGTGGCCCCCCCCAAAACACACGTCTGCGTCCCAACCCCCACGACGCGTGAATGTGATCCCGTTTGGAAAAAGGATCATTGCGGATGTCCTGAAGACCTCACGACGGGGAGATCATCCCGGTTCATCCACATGGACCCACCCGCCAGGCAAGGACGGTTCGATCGTCTCTCTGAGGATGAGTATCGAGTCCTCAACACCCGACGTGGAGAGATGAGCCGTTTCTGGAGGGGTTCCCATGCGCCCCGCAGCCCCCCGATCGTAAGATTCCACGCCGCTCAGAGACGCTTCTCAGGAGCTAATGGAATCGCGTGGACGGCGGGGTGAGTAAGGCTGAATCCACAGCCGGGCCGACACTGGTTGAGCCTGTCGCTGGGGTCGGGGGAACCAAGAGGGCCTCCGTGCACCTGAATTGGATTGAATAGTTGGACCCTTGATGCATGTGTAGCATCCGTGTGTTGTGTTCAGGTTCAATAATGGAAAGGACCCCATCATTCATTCATTCATTCATTCATTCATTAAATGTGTGTTAAGTATCACTACCGAGCCGGTCTCTGTGGAAACGCTGGGGCTCCGGGTTGAGTGGGACAGAACCCCTGTCCTGAAGGAGCTTGAGGCCTGTGGCGAGCTGACGCACGGACCCCAGAGACACCAGGTCCTGAGGCCTGGAACCTGGGGGCGCTGCCGTACGTGGTAACGGGAACTTTTATCGGGAAAGAGTGAACTCTGCAAAGGCCGGTCCGGGTAGGACCCAACACGGCTTAGGATCCTTTGGTCCAGGTGCCAACTGGATTGCGAGGGGGTCTCTATCCATGGACGCATCTTGGCTGTTAGGACGGAAAACCCTACAAGGGACACCAGCCTCCCTGAAAGACGGGGTTTGGATCCAGTTTGGGAGGCTGGATGGGGAAGCTTCTAGGGTTGACCCCTGGGTCCCGGAGGCCGCCCCACATCCATTTCCCACTTGGTCTGAGCCTTGGGTGGTCAAGTCTTGCATTGGGCGCCATGATTAACCCTTTGAGTCTGCATCTTTCCACTTCCTCCTGCATCGCACGGTCCTCACACGCCCCCTGTCTACACCCGGGCTTGCTGAATGCATTGTGCATTCTGGTTGAGGAATGCTCAGGGGTGTAAACACCATGCATGGTTTTGCATCCAAGCTCTGTAGCCATTGAATTTGTCATGTAAGAGGGAAAAAAAAAAAAATCATGGCAGTTGTATTTTCTGTCGTCTGGATACCAGCATCCTGCGGATTCGACCTAAATTCTTAGCTTTCCAACAAATGCCCGGAGAGGGCAGACGGGAGCATCCGTACATAGGAAAAAGCTTGGGGATTTTCTGGTCTCTGGGTCTCTCTTCAAGGAAGCACCTTCTTGGGTTCAAGAACAGACCTTTACCCATCTTTGTGTTTATTCCTAATTTACCATTTTTGGTTGTATCGATTGCATAAATTTCTCCCCTTTTTTTCCTCATGATTCTGTGCCTTTATTCTGGGATGCATTGCCTCACTTCCTGGTTTGATGACTGCCGTTTATTTCTCAGTTTTCGTATTTCTCACCGTAGCATCCTGGGTGACTCATTTCTGTCCTTGCCTCCCGGGTCTACACCTCATGGACATCTAGTGCGATCCTCGTTTTCATTTTTCCTCTTGAGCCCATGGGTTACTTCGAGGGGTATTTTCAAATTCCCAAATACATTGAATTAAAAAATGATAATTTTGCTGTTGTGGGTCCAGGAATGCATGGAAAAAGTACATTTGCTCTAGTTGCCCCAGAACCTATGTGCATCGTCCTTCTGAGACCCCGCGGTATTCCTGGTCCACCGTGGCGCCAGGTGGAAAGTTGTCGTTCCAAATATCCTGGGAAAACCATCGCCTGATAACTAAGGAGACCGTCACTTTGTGGAGGAATCTTGGCTTTAGTTTTCTCTGGCTTTATGGAGGCGCGACTGGCCAATAAAAATTGTATATGTTTAAGATGTGCGACGTGATGTTTCAACTTCCACGTGCACCACGGGACGTCCACTGCCAACCGCGTGGCTCGAGTAGAGCGTCCCGTTCCGCTCAGGGGGTCGCTCCGTGCTTATACGACTCGGAGGAAAGGGTGGATCTAAAAGGGTTTTAAGTCGGTTAAGGGTCTTTTCAAGGGAGTTATGCTGCCCCTGGGGCTTCAGGGCCAGATGTCCCCGCAGGTGAAAATCCTGTGTATAATGAACCCGAGCCTAGAACTTAACTCTGTTTACCCATGAATGCAAGAGATGGGATTTTCCAGGCACGCACCCACTGCCTTCCTAAAGGGAAGGTTGTCCTGGGTTGGACTGTTTCCCCATTTGGGGGAAATGCTGGGGAAATCCTTTCTAGGCGGCGCTTTCTTGGGGATTCAACGTGTAGAGGCAAGCGTCTTCATCTTCGTCATCTCCAGGGAACAGGTTGGAGGTCCAAGCACGGACGTGTTCAAATGCCTATCACCTTGTTATAAATTGCATTATGTGGACTTATTACATTTGTCTACAGGTGATAGTATAAGGATTTCATTTTAGGAGAGTCGAGGGGGCATTAAAAACGCGTTATTGTACATCCATACAATGGAATATTATTTGGCCCTGAAAAAGGAATGGAGTACCATCACATCCTACACCATGGATGAACCTCAAAAACATTGTAAGTGAGGGGCCGGCCCTGGGATGGGGTGGTGAAGTTTGTGCACCCTGCTTTGGCGGCCCAGGGTTTGGGGGTTTGGATCCCGGGTGCAGATCTACACATCGCTCACCAAGCCATGCTGTGGTAGGCATCCCACATACAAAGTAGAGGAATATGGGCACAGATGTTAGCTCAGCAACAGTCTTCCTCAAGCAAAAACAGAAGACTGGCAACAGATGTTAGCTCAGGGCCAATCTTCCTCACCAAAAAAAAAAAAAGAGAGAGAAAAAAAACCCTCCTCACTTCAACAAAATAATGTCTTTGTTCACAAAGAGAATGCAACGCGCCTCAAAGTGCACGCCTTCCCTTGTCTTCCCATCCCACACGCCGGGTGCCCGTGGGTGTTGCTTTGAACCGAACCAGACTGACCGATGGAACAGAACAAGCCTGTGCGGAATCTCCACTTTCATTTTCCGTTTGTGCACAGATTGCGTTGGGACGTCTTCTGTGCTGGGATTTCCAACGGGGTTGGAAACTAATACCTGCTTGCATTGAAAACTCCCCCCGCTCCTCATCTTCGTAAGGAAAAGGGAGAAAAAAAGGATGAAGACGTTCCAGCAGCCTTCAAAATGAACGTGAACAGACCCAATCCGGTTTCATAATTTTCTGCAGGTCTTTGAAATTCTTCCCACGGGCGTTTTTAGAGGCACCAAAGCAGAGTGAAATACGACCATCGATTTCCTAGCATTTGAGGAACCTGGGAGGCGAGGCGTAAATGATGGCGTGCTGTTCCCCGGGGCTGGCGGGAGTCATAAAACAGTCCTGGATGGTGAAGGGGGCTCCAGAAGCTGCCAAAAAGCACAGGATTTGTTTTCAGGACGCGCCTCGGGTGTCAGGAAGAATGACTCACGGTTAAGTTATTTATGCAAAATTATTCCCCAACAAAAATGACTGGAAGCGTCACCAGGTAGGACAAATGGCGACTCTGCCTGGAAAATGGCGGACGGAGCGCTGATGTGCCAAACCAGAGAGTGCACAAATCTCAGCAGTTCCTAAATCATCAGAACGAGGTCATGACCGAGCTGGGAAACAGAAGCAAGCGGCCAGAAGCACAGACCTTGGGTTTTTCATAATATGTAGAAAAATAAGTGACTTACCTGGGGTGATATTATTAGCTACCCTAGGTATTCTTTACCCGGGCGGGACTGATATCTGGCTCTGGACCATTCTCTGTGGTAGGGGCCATCTGTCCTGTGCACTGTAGGGCGTTGAACAGCAGCCCTGGTCTCCACTCGCCAGAGTCCAAGAGCATCCCCTCCAGTTGTGGCATCCAGAAATGTCCCCAGACATCGCCAAGGGATCCTGGGGGAGTGACTTGTCTCTGGTTGCAAATCACTGTCACAGAAGATGGGTAGAAGATAGATGGTAATACATAGATAGATTAGATAGATAGGTAGATGGTAGATAGGTACGTAGATAGATGATAGGTAGATAAACAGATGATATAGATGGATAGATGGATATATAGATAGAACAGATAGATGGATAGACAGATATGATGGATGGATGGATGGACAGATAGATGATAGATAGATAAATAGGTTATAGATAGTTGATAGATAATACATAAATAGATGATGCATCGATAAAGAGATGATGGCTGATAGAGATGATATAGATGATAGATATGGATAGATGGTAAATGCATAGATGATAGATAGGTAGATGATAGCTAGATAGATGATAGGTAGAACGGATAGATGGATAGACAGATGTGATGGATGGATGGACAGACAGATGGACAGGTTGATGATAAATAGATGATAGATAGGATATAGATAGATGACAGATAATACATACATAGATGATACATAGAGAGATGGTATAGATGATGGATGGATGGATAGATAGATGATAAACAGATGATAGATCAATCAATCGATAGATAGAATGGATAGATGGATAGACACATATGATGGATGGATGGGTGGGTGGACATAAAGATGATAAATAGATGATAGGTTATAGATAGATGATAGATAATACATAGATGATGCATAGATAGATGGGTGATAGATGATGGAGATGATAGAGATAGGTAGATAGATAGATAGATGGAAGATACATAGATAGATGATAGATAGATGATAGGTAGACAGATGATAGATAGATAGATAGATAGATAGATAGATGGAACAGATAAATGGATAGACAGATTTGATGTATGGGTGGATGTATGGACGGATAGGTGATAAATAGATGATAGGATGTAGATGATAGATGTAGATAGATGATACATAGAAGATAGAGATGGTATAGATGATGGATGGATAGATGGATGGATAGATGGATGGATGGATGGATAGATGGATGGATGGATAGATGGATGGATGGATGGATGGATGGATGGATGGATAGATGGATGGATAGATGGATGGATGGATGGATGGATGGATGGATGGATGGATGGATAGATGGATGGATGGATGGATGGATGGATGGATGGATAGATGGATGGATGGATAGATGGATGGATGGATAGATGGATGGATGGATGGATGGATGGATGGATGGATGGATGGATGGATGGATGGATGGATGGATGGATGGATGGATGGATGGATGGATGGATGGATGGATGGATGGATAGATGGATGGATGGATGGATGGATGGATGGATAGATA